TTATAAAGTTTTAGTGTGACATATTGGACTATTTAACTCATTATATATGGTTTAAATGATTTCAGGTCATGGCAAGCTGACAGGAGTGAGAAATTAATCAAGATCCTTAAGGTTCAATTTCTCTTATTAGCCATTCTTTTGTACTCAGAATTTGAATTAATATGATATGATTGAATGATCCATGAATATTGTATATGATTTTGGAGTAATGAATATAGATGTATATTGATATTTTAGATAATATAATTTATTTATATTATTTGTTACTGATAAATAATATTAGATAGCTTTAATATTGTTATTAAAAGATAAAAGAAAGAATTATTTTAAATTAGATTCTAGTAATGACAAACTTGGTATCAAAGCAGTTGTTACATGAATTGATTGAATTATTATCATAGCTATATGAATTGATCGTGAACTGGATAAATTTAGTAGATTAAGGTGCATTATTTTGCATATATAATTGATTGCATGTATGTATGAATTATTCAGATGATATAGAAGGGTGCAAAAGTGAATAGCTGACATGGTTTTACCAAAGCGAGATGTACCAAACAAGCAAAACAATATAACTCCGGTATCGTTATATACTATTATTCATCGGTAATAATTTATTGATACAAAAAAATAAGATATATTAAGCATGCGATTAAGTTATTGATTTAATACTAATATAAAATATCAGGATAACATGTGTACATTCCTATATGATTTTATTATATTAATTTGATTTCAACAGTTTTTATTAATATTTTAATTTGATGCTTTATCTAATTTTTGTACTTCTTGGTATTACAGATATGATAATTACTTTATAGATTTAACACTCATACTGATTTATTATTTTACTAGCTTCCATATTATAATATTTTATTATTAATAGATTCTACTATTATTATATGTGAATTTTATTATTTTGCATTAATTCAATGATCATATGAATGTAACTATTATGATTTGATAGTTAATATACATATTATTTTTTTACCATACTTTGAATTCAGTTATAGATTTTGGTGATCTGCTGGGCTTTTTAAATTATGATATATGATTAAATAATTTCAGGTCAAGATAAGAGAGCTGGAGTGTAAGGCTCGTTAGAATTTTTCAGATTTTATTTCTTTTTATTCTAATTATTCTTTTGTACTCAAGATAAAGTAGTTGTGATATGATTATATAGATCATGAGTAGTGTGTATGATTTTTTAGAACAAATATAGATGCATATATTAATATTTTGATTTATAGAATATATTTTTTTATTACTGATAGATGATATTAGATAGCTCTGATTGTTATTTATTAAAAGATTAAAATAATATTTTTTTAATTTAGATTCTAGGGTATCACAATTGGTAGATTATAACTACTAAAAAAGAGAAATTTTTAAAGAAAAAGATTTTGCACCCATTTGCATATATTTGGAAGTCTTTTAATGCTTGAAAATGATTGTATATATTCTAGAATGAGTCCTAAGGGTCTAAATCAAATTTGGTAAAATCTAAAAAATGTTACTATTTGAGTGCCTCAATATTGTGTGTTTGAGCCCCTTAGCAGTGCTACAGTACATCAAATAGTGACATTTGAGCACCATGCTCTCAGGTTTGTCAATGCTCCGATTGAGTACCACAGTGTTAGGCTATTATTTAAATTTTTATATATTTTAAAAATAGTATTCTTATTCAATTGAATGTCAAGCTAGTCAAAGTAGAGAGAGGAAGAGGGTTTTTAGAGAGAGAAAGTTTGATTTGAGCCACTTCGAGTCATTTTATCCATTAGGCCAGTTGAAAAAGTTGTTCGGATCGTGGAAGGTCACATTATGCCTATCTCTATTTTAAAAAAATTTGAAGTTTTTTATAAATTTCTCAATTAAATTTCTACTTTCATTATCAATGTGGATAACTTTGCACTGATAAAACTTTATATATTATTGAGTATTTTTTTTTAAATTTATATATGGTATTTTGAAATTTTGTAATTTTTATTGAATACAAAATAATTCGAACTTAAAAAAATAGTGCTTTAATACGATTAAAGTCTTGAAATAATATTTTACACAATCCTTGATAATTTGGTTATGTTTTGGAATTGTTCATTTTGACTCAATAGGTATTCGATTTAAGCATATTATTATACCAACTTTGAGAATGGAAATGAAAATATGATTGAGTAATAGTTGGTTGTTATTACTTTTATTGCAACGTGTGAAAAATAAGTAAAAACTCATTGACCCATTGGTTGGAGATTGATTGACTTATACAGGATGATGATCAAACAGACTTTTCTTTAAATACTATAGTTTAGTTTTATCTGATACATACAATGATATCATAGCAACGATTGAGAGTTATATGGAGACTATTATTGCGTCGACAAGCAAAGAGTGACGACTCTGTTTACTGAGTCAATGGTTTACTGATATTGATACGATATTGAAAAATATCATGATAGCTAGGACTTCTTACTTGTTCAGTGTAGCAATTGAAATGTATGTTACATATTCATTATTTTATACGACCTTATTGATATTGTATTGATTTTTTGTTATTGTATGAATTTCTATTATAACATTAATTTATTGTTACTACTATTGGAGTTACTAGTATTGATACAGACACTAAAACTGATTCACTGTACTGATTACTGATAATGATTAAGCACATTATACACTGAGCATGTAATTAAGATACTGATATAGACTCACTAGATAGCATATGTACAACATTATAAGATATGAATCTGACAATTACTTCTCGATGCTTTAGTTTTTTTTGCTTTATATAATTGCTTTGTCAATTGACAGTATTGATACGACAACTGCTTTATAAATCTGACACCATACTACTTTACTGAATTTCCCCATAATACTGATTTACTAAATTTCATACTGTTTTGGTTTACTTCTTTATCTATTCAACTGCTATTGCATGTGAATTTTATTATTTTTGTATAGATTATTGATCATATGATCATTGTTGTTATGAATTGACTGATGACATGCATAATTCTTCTCCATCGTGTTTTAAATTAAGTTATAGAATTTTAGTGTGGCCTGCAAAGCTTTTTAGCTCATTATATGTGGTTTAAATGATTTTAGGTCAAGGCAATGTGCAAGAGTGAGAGATTGATCAGGATTATTATTTTTTATTAGTGTATCCTTTAGGTTCAATTTTTTTTATTAGTTGTTCTTTAATACTCAGGATTTGGATTGACATGATAGATTGAATGATTCATGAGTATTATATACTATTTTTGGAGTAATTAATATAGGAGCACATTGTTGTTTTTTATTATATAATTTATTTATGCTATTTATTAGTAATAAATGATATTAGATAGCTTTGGTGTTATTATTAAAAAATAAAAGAAAGAATTCTTTCAAATTAAATTATGGAGCATGACACATGTTGCCACAATCTTTAAACTTTATACTACATTCATTTTACTTCAAAAAAAAAAAAAAAAAAAAAAAACGACTGAATTTACTTTACACTCATCTATACAACTCTAAAGTATTTCTTTTATATTGTATTCTTTTTACATTACATTCCTTTTACACTGCATTTCTTCTTTAGCCAACCAAACAACCTCTAAGTTGATTAGGGTCATGTCGTTTATGAGAGTAGTCAGCATTTTGTAAGATGGAAGGTTTGGCTGACTGTTCATGTCTTGGATTCATTTTGCATGTTTGAAGAAGCACTTCAATGTAATTATTTTGCCACCCAATGTTCTTAAATTAGATGTAAGTTTATTATGTTTGATGGGAAATTGCAGTCTTTTGTAAAGGTGGTTGTAGAGTTGTGAAAAAAAAAATAATTATTTTTTTATTATTATAGTATTATAAATTTTTTTAAAAGAAAATTAGAAAATATTTTCTTATAATTATCGTAGTTTAGGCATATTTAGTTGTAAAAATCTGCATTCCATAGCAATTCTTAAAATAGTAGGAAGAAAATAATAGTCAAATCAAAATATGGCTGACATATGGATGTCATTGAATTTTATAATGTAAGCTTCATTTGAAACAACTTTCTTATTAATTAGCCCAAAGCCCTCTAATGTAAATAATGATAAGCTTGGTTGCTCTCTGCTAGTCATCTAAATTCAGCATAACAATGAATCTCAATTGGCCTTTGGAGCCTAAGCCATTTTTTAGCAGTAGACATTTTGCTAATTTCCTTTGGAAGTTTGTATTATACATAAAAGCACAATTTCCACTATGGAAATTTATGAGCTTCTAACTGTTAAAATTTATCATTAAAACTTTAAATAAAATATCATAGACGGCCATTGCAGTCTGTTTGAAACGACTGTAAATCTGATGCAAAAACTAATAGTAACTTTTTTAGAAGCTGTTGCAAAAATATTTGCTTTATAGATTTTTTTTAAATAACGAAAAAATAATAGTCAAATAAAAACTATAACTATAATTTAAAAAATAAAATATTAAAAAAATTATTTCAAACAAACCCTATATTATAAAATTAAATGACATCCGTTAGCTTACTAAGAGTATATGAGAGCAACTTTTTATCTGCTTTACTTTTAAATGCTGTTTTTTACAACTAAATATATCTAAATTGTAATAATTATAAGAAACTATTATCTAATTTTCTTAAAAAATATTTATAATATTATACACCAACAACAATATTATCAAACCTTTGTCCCACTACGTGAGGTCAGCTATATAAAACCTATTTCATCATTGTGTCATGTTAAAAGTCAAATTATCATTTAAATATAATAAAAAAAGATCATTTTTAATATTTTCTAACCAAGTCTTTTTTGGTCTACCTTTAACTTTCTTAATATAAGACAAATCTAATACCTCAACTTTTCTAACCAGGTCATCAGGAAGGCCTCCATTTAATACAATCAAAACGGAGGCCTTCTGATGACCCGGTTAGAAAAGTTAAGATATTGTCGAATAATCATGATATGAATCCTCTAAAAAAATATTTACAATAATATAATAATGAAAAATAATTATTAGTCTTATCACAACTCTACAAAAGACTGCAATTGCCCATCCAAATATAATACATTAATACTTAACATAATAAATGTGCATCTAACTAAAGAACATTGGGCAGCCAAAAAATTACATGGAAGTGATTCTTGAAACGTGCAAAAGAACGGTCAGCCAAACCTTCCATCTTACAAAATGTTGAACACAGACATAAACGACATAACCCTAATCAACTTAGAAATGCAGTCATCGCTTCCGCTTCTGCGACGTCAAATGCTTCATCACAAACTCGATAGCCTCTTTCAGAGTTGCTCTCCGTCCCTCTCTGTAGCTCCAGAGTTCATTGATGACGTATCTGCCGCTTGGATTATACTCATTAATCTCCAATAAGGCCGATGTCACAGCCCTGTAGGCCTCATCGCCCAGCTCGCATCTTAAAGCGACCAATTTCTCATCATCTTCCTGTATGACCTCCTGCATGATGAATCAATTGTGGCAATCATGAGGCATATTAGAAAGAAATGATTTTTCGACTATTTTCACAGAAGCATTATACCATCCCATTTTCAACTTTTCATGATCAGCATGACAAAAGGCTTAGGGCATCTCCAATGGAACAACAAACAACATTTGTTGTTTGCCGTTCTTCTGTAGCTCCAACTGAGCGGCAATTTTGACGCTCTTTCATCGCAGGTGAACAGTGTGACGCCAATATTTGGCGTCGCACGTTTACCTACCATTTAATTATTTATTTTTAATTCAAAAATTAAGTATAAAGAATATAGTATGAATATTCTTTTTTTGATGTTGAAAAATGGAGTTCGGTTGGAGACAAGTTATCGCATTTTGGTGTATTACTGTATTTTGGAGTGAAAAATGAGTTTTTCGGTTGGAGATGCCCTTAACTGCATTCATTCTGAAGAGATAGAGAGGGAGAGGGAGAGCATGAGAGAGAGAGACAGATAGGAGAGCATGATATAGGACTACCAGATTCCAAGTTTTCAAAGAGGCATTCAGCTATGCATAAAGCCACAGTTGCCCCCATAAACTATGCAGTGGATGAACGGTGAAAACAATATGGAAACCACACATAAACGTATTCACTTGTACGATTAGAATAGAAAATTACATCAAGAGTACTAAATAATAAGAGAATATGCTAAAAACTGAAGGTAAATTTTAGAAACTAACAATTAGATTTGCATTAGGGGAGACTAAAGCAGTGATTAAGTTTCTTCAAGTATAAAGATTAGCGAGGTTAGAAGCGGAATAGGTTGTAATTAGAAGATTAAAATGGGCGAATTTTGATAAGCAATCAATGACTATCAAAATAGCAGTAAAACCTTTAGAATTAAGCAGATCAGTAATGAAGGAGAATTATCTAAAAAATATAAAAATTTTAGATTTTGTTTAATATACCTTTCATGAATTTATATTAAGTTAGGTAGATCTAATATCCATTGACCTAATTTCCTAATTTTAAACTTCCTTATCTCTATTGGATTATCTCTGATAAAAGTTGTTCTAGAGGATGCCATTCATCCCCTGTTCAATCCTTATTTTGGTTTTTACAAAAGGGGAATCGTAAAAAGGAACCTTACATTTTGCATTAGTGACCCCGTAACATAGATAACAAAGTGCTTCGAATGCTTTAAGTCTCATTCCCACAGTGTAGTTCACGTTGAATGGGGCTGGGCCACCAAAACACCAAAGCTTTCTATGGCCAGTTTTAACTAAACCTAGAACTCTAGAATCACGATGATTATCTTTGCACAAAAATATCAAGCATATGCTTTTAATTCCCAAGAGGCACCCGAACTTTGCAAAAAGAATCCTAAACAAAATCAAAACCACACCTATTGGTGGCTTTTTTTGGTAGACTAAGTACTAAGAAAAGAGAAAATGCAATATTTAAAATAGCTATGATAAGCTAAGGAAAATTCAGAGATATTGATTAAGATAGATATATAAAAGAAAACAATAACAACAATAAGTCTTTATCTTATTATGTGAGGTCAACAACATGAATCATTTTGCTCCATTGGGTCTATTAATAGTTAAATTCTCATTTAAATAGAACAAAAAAAAATCATTTTCAATACTTTCTAATAAAATCTTTTTAGATCTAACAAAGGCCAGCATTTTATGCGACCAAGCCACCTAAGGCGACTATCTCTAATCTTGTCTATAATTTGAGGTTGAGAATGGAAGTTTAAAGAAATAAAATTTTATGGAAGTGCAAATAAATGCAATAATAAATAATATTACAGAGTGAACCAAGTAAATTTCACATAGCTTCCAATAAAATGCATAATAACAATTTTTTTTTTAAGGTGAGATACCAACTAAGACTTTGAGAGAGAGAAAGGAGATGGTTGAGAAGTTTGTGGGCATTAAAGAGAGAGCGACAAATATATATTAAAGTTACTTAAGTGAGTAGATGCAAGAGAACAAGTTTCTAATTAGTAAAAAGAAATATGATAGAAAGCACTTAAATATACACTTCTTCTAAATAAATGAAGAATTAGAACAATCCAGCAAGCTTGCAGAAGATTAGAGACACACTATTAATAAGAGATAATTTGAGTAAATTACATGATGGTGGATGTGAACTTAATAATTATTACCCAAATTATTGGATGATCAAGTAAAACTGATGTTTAATACATTTAAGTATTTTGGAAATATTATGTAAGATAATGAAGATACACATGAGGATATAATTTCTAAGGTTAAAGCTTTACTTTAGAATAGAAAATTACATCAAGAGTACTATAAAATAAGAGAATATGCTAAAAACTGAAGGTAAATTTTAGAAACTAACAATTAGATTTGCATTAGGGGAGACTAAGGCAGTGATTAAGTTTCTTCTAGTATAAAGATTCGGTGGTTAGAAGCGGAATATGTTGTAGTTAGAAGATTAAAATGGGCGAATTTTGATAAGCAATCAATGACTATCAAAATAGCAGTAAAACCTTTAGAATTAGGAAGATCAGTAATGAAGTCTATAAACAAATCTTTCCAATTTTGCAAGGGTATTGGTAGAGGAGAAAAGAGTCCAACAAAAAGAAGGGTAGATGATTTGATTTTTAAAATAGGAGAATTTTGATAAGCAATCAATGACTACCAAAATAGCAGTATAGCCTTTAGAATTAGGCAGACCAGTAATGAAGTCTATAAACAAATATTTCCAATTTTGCAAGGGCATTGGTAGAGGAGAAAGGAGTTCAACAAAAAGAAGGGCAGATGATTTGATTTTCTGACAAGACAGACATTTTTGCTAACAAAATTGGCAATGTCTTGATGAAGGTCAAGCCAATATAAATTAGCGGAGAACACCTTGATGACCTGCAAGAGGTGTGGAATAGAATTTTGTGAGGATTTGTTGTTTGAGGGAATAATCCTTACTGAGATAAATATGACCTTTATAATAAAGAATTTGATCAGAAATTGTTAGTCTGTATGAGAGAGTTTGTCATTAGAAAGCTAAGAAGCTATATTAAAAATATGTGGAGAATGAAGAGATTCCTTTTTTTAAATCATTTATTAGAGAAAAAAGAAAAAAAGTTTTGGGAGCAAGCAAAAAAGGATGAAGTGTAGAAGTATCTTCCAGCAATCTAGATAACGAATTGGCAACAATATTTGTTTTTCCTGGCTTATATTCAATAGTGAAATTAAAACCTAAAAGCTTACAAAAACAATTTTGTTGATCAGAAGTTTGAATAACTCGAGTATGTAGTTCACGTAAGTTTCTATGATCAGTACCAATAAGAAATTAATTGCCAAACAAATACTTAGGTCAGTTAGAAACAAATTCTATATCCTATAACTCTTATAGATAAGTCAAAGATTTAGAGAGTTTAATGCTTAATTTTTTTACTGAAAAAGGCGATAAATGAAGGTCAGATTTGACGTAGGTAGAAGAGATAATATGACCCAAATATTAGTGGATGATTGACAAATCTATCATTTATTAATCTTGAGAAAGATTTCATTTGTCTATAAGCATTGAAAAATAGTTTTCAGATCCAATAAAATATATTAACGTCTAACAGTAAGCTACTCATTATAATAAAGAAAGCATCTCAAATATACTTCATGCCAAATTTAACATTATTTCACATATTTCTAACTTCTCTACATTTAGTCCTTGACATTTCCTAAGAAAATTATTCCAGCATCTAGAACCATTGGAAGGCCCGTTAAAGCATGTCACATGTGTGATTAATCCAACAAAAAAATGAGAAGGATCAGTTGATGCAAATTTTGGAATCCTGAGGAAATGAGAAAAGTCGGATATATACCACCTGATCAGGTATAATGCTTTTTAAAGAATTCTTTTGAAAATGTTGCCCAAAGAATGGAGAAAGAAGAAAAAAGAGAGAGAATTGTGTAAATATTGCAAGCAGAAACAGCATAGCTCCATAACTGAATCAATGGAATATTACCATTCTCAAGTTGTTAAATATCAAGGATCTGAAAATAAATTATAAATATCAACGGTTTTGTTGGGTTATAAATAAGAACAGTGAGAAAGATACCTTAAGCTTTCCATCAACAGAGGAAATTCTAAAAGGATGCCACTCTGGAATTTTCAATTCATCTTGCCACTTGGAGCAAAATTCAGCAGCTTTTACATCTGCCTCATCTTTCCGATATCTTTTTATACATGCAGCATGAAATATTTTTTCATCAAGTTCGCCCATCCTCTTGATCCCTATCATTGTTCGGTTGCCGAGTATGTCTGAAGCACCCTACAATGGTGAATTAATCTCATAAGAGCAGCACTTATCCTGTGGAAGAAAAAACGAACAGCCAAGTAAACTCACAGATATTAACTCTTTTCTAGCTTCTTGCAGCTCATCATTGCTCTTTCTTTCTTTAACAACCAAAGCTTGATTAAGTACTTCAAGATCTTCCAATTCTTCATTTTTCTCTCTGAGTTCTTCATTAAGCTGGTCTATTTTCTGGTGAACTACCAAATCTTGCCCTCCCATTAACTTCATTACTTCTAGACAGCCTTTCAGCTGCTGTATTTCTAGCTCAAGTTTTTGCTTTGCATCTAGTTGCTTTTGTAGATTAAGTATCTTCTTATTGTTAGCCTCCTTCTCTTTCTGCACGCTTTTTTATATTGATGAGGGCATGCAGTGGTACTCGATTTTGTATAATATTTTAAAAACAAAAAAGTCTCAGAAGAAGAACGTCTCAAGTATTGTAATAGACTGACCTTTTGTTCTTCAACGAGACTCAGAAAATCGTCATCGGCCTTCTTCTGCTCCAAGGAAGCCAACTCAAGTAAACTATTTTTCATAGCATTCTGCAAGGTCAGAAAATAGTAAAAATCATTTCCAAATAACTGCATGGGAAAAGGAAGTTGGTGAATATATGTTGCCTGGAACTTCTTGTCATGCAAAATTAGGTTGAAGTATGTGCTCATCTCACAATTTGGTCAAACGCATTAGCTAGCTAGCTAGCACATCAATCAACTAAAGCACAACATTTTTATTTTGTATTATCAACCATAAACTGTATGATTGCATAGCAATAAACCCTTCTAAAGCGCCATAAAACAGCTAAGGGTTTTATTTGAATTCGGGGAAATTCCAAAGAGAAAGCCTCATCAACAATCCGTGTGCTTCGATTAAATAAACCTAAGATGATGATCCACCTCAACAATCCATCGCTATTCATTCTTCCTTAAATGACTCCCATTAATTATTCATTATTCATAGGACTATAATGTATATATTTTAACACCTACAATTATGTACCTTTTCTACATGATGAAGCAAAGAAATAAGATTCAAATTATTCTTTTGTATTTCTTGACTTATAATTTTTCAAATGGTATTAGAGCATTGATTCTAAATAATCTTCATTCTCTTTCGTCTCTCATATCTTCTTTCATTGGCAAAGATTCCCTTGCGTGAAGATCCATGAGGCAAATTGTTCGCTTGCTGGTGTGCAAGCTCTACTTACCGCTCAGCCTTGCCAACTTTGTGATCCCACAAGAGTCCGCTTCAACATCATGATCTGGCATCAAGTTCCCGCAAGAGCGACCTTTGAACTTGCAACTCCACTTCTCTCCAACCCGCTTGCAATTCAGCCTTTTGGACGATCCCAATCTACTTCAATTCTTCTCTATTAACCATAATCATGGTTAAACACGAAACAACATCCAATAAAAGCTTCTCCTTCAATGCCACCTCAAATCATGAACAAATGATTCATGGCCACATTAGCAATCAAGAAGCTTCACCTCAAATATATCACTAATAAGACACGAACTAAACAGACAAAATTCTCTCCAATAGGCCCAATCAGTTATGATGGGCGAAAGTGATGCGGACATCCGACGGTGGACGATATTCAAAGGAAGAGTCAAAGATCGACGGCCGATATCATTCTGTTTTATTTTAGTTTATTAATTGTATTTTGATTTAATTTTGCAATTTTCATTTTTTACCCTTTTTATTTAAGAGTCTCGTCTTATGTTAGCCCAATGGGCAAATTTGTCTTTTAGTTTCTTTTGAGACTTATATATAGAGGCCCCTTCTCTTGTATTAGGTGTGATAGAATTATAATAAAAAATTGTGTTTTGCACTTGTGTTCTTTTGGGAGGACGTTAGTGAGATTCCTATAGGAAGGAATCAGAGCTTTCAAAAAGCCGCAGGATGGGTCCGGGATCGTGGCTTGAAGTTCCTTGAAGAAGGGCAACGTATCACCCGTCAGTCTTCGAAAGAGTCTAAAGCTCGTGGTTTTGTCTTATTATTATTATTATTATTCTCCTTATTTTCCTAACCGCCACTTCCCAATCTCTCTTTCTCCTATTGGCCGAAAACTCCACCCAAACCCTAGGCCAAAAGACACCCAACCGCCAACCCAATCCCCTCCCGAAAGCCGCCGGCCATCATCCATCTCTTAGCTCCAAGATTCAAAATCTAGCATTCAAATCCTTTGCTAAATTAGCTCCCTTTAATTTTGGAAACTATTTAAATTCATATTCAATTATATTTGAATTTGAATTTTACTTCCTAAATGAGAAAAACTATTTTAGGAAAGTTCCTCAAATCATGCAATTTTGAATTTTAAATAGGAGTTGATTTAAATCCACTTTCCTATTTTAAGATTCTAAATATAGACACCTTTAACCCCTCATATCAATCACCCATAATCAAGCTAACCACTGGCCCTACCCCCCTTCCCATTTTCTCTTTCCCTCCACTTTCAAATTAATTATTGAAGGCATTCCTTATTCGATGCATTTTAAGTTTGGAAAGTTTTTAAATTCAAATTTTAATTAATTTAAATTTGAAATTCTTTCTTAAAATAGGATGAATTATATTAGGAGGCTTTCCTTAATTCTCCCAATTTGAATTTAATTAAAGACCTGTCATAATTCCCCTTTCCTTATCTTAATAATTCAAGTTTGGAAATTCCTCAGGTCCACATTCACCGTATGTGGACACATTCACCGTATGTGGACACATTCACCGTATGTGGACACATTCACCGTATGTGAACACATTCAACGTATATGGACGCCTTCCCTTTTTCCCCTCTTTTGACCGATCCCCTCCGTTCTACATCAGAAAAAAGTCAAAAATGATAATCTCATGGGTGGCCATTCCTCGAAAGTAAGATACAAAATTCAGAACATGGTAATCTGAAAATAACGTTTTTATGTATTGGCTCATTAACACCATGAAAAAAGAAATTGGATAAAATGTCATGCTTTATTACATGACAAAAGAGATCTTCAAGGACATCTTTTTGTCACTAAATACTACAACCCTCTTAATAGGTATTGGCAGCAATTAGATATCTTTGAAGAACTAGATTTGAAAGAGAGGGTAGTCAAATTCCTTTACGGGCTAAATAAAAACCTTCATGAAGTTCAAGAGACATTTGGAATCAAAACCATCACGTCCATTCGGAGCAAAAAGATCATGCTGGAAACTATGTGAGATTTCTTCTATTTAGACATCATGGAAGTGTCTGAGCTTCTTAGCAAATAATAATGAATCCCTAAAACCAACATCTGCTTCCATACTCCCACCCATCAATCAAGACCAAATAGAGATGCTAAAAAAGGTGTTCAGTCAACTTCAATCCAACCTAGTGACACCTAATATCAACATCACATCAATGGCTAAAAAATGCATTATTATAAATGCATTTAATTCAATTATCATAAAAGCTCGTACTTATTATGCCTTTTGTATTATGCACTTGTAGTTTTAGTGCTATCTTTTTTAGCCTATCATGTTGTATAATTCATTTGTATTGTGCTTCGTAATCATTTACTCATTTGCTTGTTTTGTAGCATACAATATAGTTAACTTGTGTGATGACGCATTTGTAGGATTTAAGTATTTGAATACAAGGGTGTACACACTAATATTTCTAAGTGTAAATTTTTTAAAGATTTTAGTTATTATTTAAACACTCTTAATATTACTTTATACACATTGTGTATGTCATTTCATCTACACTTGTACACATAGTTGTGTTTAGTTAATTGATTTAATTATTAGCTTTTGTTTGTTCATTGTGAGGCGTTTGAAATAATAGGATATCAAAAAAAAATCCCAAAATATTCCATTACACACCTCCCTCCCCCCCCTTGACATGCCCTTTACAATGAAAGACGCCATAAATTAATTAATTTGACATGGCTTTTAAATAATATCCAATCATCACATGTGTCAACCCCTTAAAATCGTCTTGATTACACTTAGAAGAATATATTCATATTCCATTCATTATCATCAAAGCACATTGCTCACAAGTCCAAAAAAAATTAATCCTCAATGCAACAGTCGAGTACATCTCAGTTCATAGTCAGATAGTGGATTTGGGCTCTATTTGGCATTGTCGTTTTGTGTTGTACTCAGTTTTCCTGTAAAGTTTATAAGCGTTTGGTAAAATCAATCGAAATTGTTGTCAATAGTATTGTAAGAGTTGTCCATGCGAGTAAAAAATTGTTGTAGTATTGATATTAATTGATAGAATGATTGAAATGTATATAATATGAACTTAATATAATTATTAAATAATGTCAAATTTATAATTAAATAAATTAATTTTTAAAGATAGAAAGCAAAAATCCATATAAGTGAATTTTTTCGGAAGCTATCATACCCACTATTCCCTAAAAAACTACATTTCAATTTCATACAACTAGGCTTTCTCTTGCATTACACTAAACACCTTAAATCTACTTGTGTTGTTCAAACAGGCAAATGCAGATGTCAGAAAGCAATGTTGAACAGAACCTTAGTGAGAAATGATTTTGCAGAATTAAATTTCTAAATGACTTGCAATCAAGCATGCTATAAGAATCCACAGGAAATGTACAGTTTAATCTAGCAGTACCTTCACCAAGGAGTTAACAGGTTAAAAGCTATCTTGCAAATTAAACAAAAATATATTGTACCTTCTTCTTTTCATCTTCAAGTTTCCTTATCTCAGACTCACTTTGAGCTGCTAATGTATTCAGTTGCTTGGATCTGAATGCATGTTCTCTTCTCTTAGACTCCAGCTCAGTCCTTAAGTTCTCATTCTCATCAAATATTCTACGAGAATGATCTTGGACGAGTTGCTGCATTCTTTGAATTTCTAAGGAAGAACACAAGATTCCAGTGTTAACGATGGAGTGTAATATGCATAATTATAATCCAAGCCTGCACCAACCCTTTCAACTTATGTCAAAAAGAAATAAATTCAATCAGATGAACAAATACTAATGATCCAATTTAAAATTGAGAGCAAGTTCTTAGCAAAATTAAAAAAAAAAAAAAATTGAAGGCTACAACAAATTTAAAAGAGATATATCAAACATATCTAATACATAAATTTGAGATACACCACCATCTCACGCCAAAGAACGGAATAAAATAAAACAATTGCAAAGCCAGGTTTTTGTTTCCTCCAATACTTATTAAATCTATCAAATAGCAGTTTACCATGGTACTAAATATCTTAGAGAAAGTGCAGCCAAATTTCAATCTCAATTTTAAGGCTGAAATATCCTCAATCCAAAATATTCATATCAATTTGTAGAGTGGAAAATTCTATGTACTATCACTCATCAGTGCTATTAAGAGCATGAAACAATTAGTAGTCATCTAAGAGAATCACCATTATTATAAGATTCATGTAGTTTATCCCTTTCTTCCATCATCTTATTGAGAGACAATGTTGATGTATTGTATTTGTCCTCAAGCTCCTCAATGTGCTTTTTCTTGACTTCAATCAGAGTTGCCAAATCTTGAATAAGTTTGCTCATTTTATTAGACTCCTCATTAGTTATATCATCAACAGTTTTTAAATCTCCATGTTTTTGCAGATGTTCTCCAATAGGACCTCCTGAATAATAGTCATCAGCACGAGCCACCCATCCATATATTCCTGGAATAGAATTCCTTTTTTCAACCCAATTCATCTTACCAAAGTGATCAGCATAAAAATAGTTCTCAAAAGCCATTGCATCCCTAAATCCAATCCAATCTTTGCTGAAGTTCACAACCACATTTCCTGTATGGCCCCTGAAATTCCACAAAGAGTGGAATTTTATGGGATTGAATTTAGAGAGCAGCTCCTTAAGCCTATTGCCACTTTCACCAACATACTTTCCATTCTTGAATTCTGTTGGAACATTAACAAGGATTCCCATCCAGGGCCAGACAAATTGTTCATCCTGTTCAGCTTTCAGATGCTCTCTTTTAGTAATCAAAAGTTGTGACGGACTTGAATCATCAGAAATATCATTCTTCAGAAATTCTACAATGGCCTGGTGGTTTGCCTTCACCTTTGCGTTCTTGTTAGTAGCAGCAATATCTGTAGCATGCTGAAGCAGATCCTTGTACTTGTAATTTTGCGTCTTCTTTTTATGACAAAAAGGACATCTATAGATGTTGTCTGTGACTTTCACTTTGAGCTCTTCTGACTTCAGTTGCTGGTAAAAGTTGGTCGCATAAACATCTATCTCTGAGTCACAAAATTCTATAGTTTCACTGAAGCTGTAATCCATCAACGGAAGGTCACTGCAGAATGAAAAAGCTAAATCCTGCTCACAACGGCCGAGGGTCCTATCTAGGGCATGCGAAATGTACCTTTTCGCCGTTGAGAGTTGAAGCAATCGACGACAGGGAGAGCTGCAACGGAGAAGAGAAGAAGCTGGAAGAAACTCCAAGCCGTAAGGATGGAGGGAATTTGCGAAATCTCGAAGGAATCAGTTGGAGAAGAAGCTTTTTCACCGCCCCAATATCAAGATTGATGCAATCACGAATAGATTAAAAATGGATATTAAATAATTAATTAGTAGTATAACTAAGTTATCTAATTTTATTTTATTTAATAATAAATAGTATAATTATCATGAAATTAGTTTAATTAATATTTGTAATAGGTTGATTTTATAGTTATTAGTTGTATAATTATCATTAAATTAATATAATATTTAAATATTTAATAAAATCATTAATATGAGTATTAATTAAATAATTTATAATTTTAAAATATAATCAACAAATTAATTAGGATTTAAAAATATAATTATATAATTAATAAAATAATAAGTATTTACCATTATAACTTATTAACTTTATTTTTAATTATCTTTAATAAGTTATAATGTTGAATAATATAATTAGAAGTTGCTCAATTATTACTAATTATCAAATTACTAATTATATGATTAATTATCTAATTATCAAATAGTCCTACAATGCATACACAATTAAAATTTAATTTCCAAATGAATCAACTGTGTTAAATCCTAGATTACGTTGCCAAACAGTTTTTTAGGATTTATCAGTATTTAACTTAGGTCAAGCCAAACAGTTTTCGAGATTTAACATCCTCGGAAATTACTAAATTCATATTTAGAGGATCTACTAAATCCAGATAAAATTAAATCCTACGTGTTCTAAACAGCCTAGAAAAACTTCAATCTATTTCGCTGTTGAAATTTTAATTAAGCAAAAATACTATTTCATTCCATAGTTGAAAAATAAAACAAGCACAAAATTGGGGTTTTTAGAGAGCATTTTACTTGAGCGTGAGGGGTTGTTTGGTAGCGAGATTTAGGCTTCGTTTGGGACGGCTTTTTCTTGATTTTTAGGATAAAAAATAAAATCTGTGTACTTGAAAGCCGCTTTAAGAAGCAGGAAAAAAGACGTCCCAAACGAAGCCTTAACCAGGATTTACGCCGGATTTTATTTAAATCTTGCTAAACAATTTGACAACGCTCAATAAGTTCGAATCGATTGCAAATCCCGTATTTATGAATTTTTTGAAAGAACTTGATAGAATTGCATGATCAATTATAATTTTCTTTGAATGGCATTTCTCGTTACAGAATGCTCTATTTCATTCTATTTCCTCAAATTCTACTAGCAGTTTACACAATGTTAACTTCTTCATTTCTTTCTACAGTGACCTTCTGTTGATGGATTACAGCTTTAGTGAAACTATAGAATTTTGTGACTCAGAGTCAGAGATAAATGTTTATGCGACCAACTTTTACCTGCAGCTGAATTCAGAAGAGCTTAAAGTGAAAGTCTCAGACAACATCTATAGATGCCCTTTTTGTCAGGGAAAGAAGACACAAAATTACAAGTACAATAATATATTAAAATAGTCTCGTTTGTCGTCTCATTATCGGAGTCAAGAGTAGCTGCAAGATTAAAATTAAGAATGAAAAAAAACATGACCCGTAGAGCTTAGAAGACATAAACATTTGTCACGGATGGTCTTTGTTTTGGGGCGAGAGAGGAGCAAAAGGGAAAATGAAAGTCATGCTCGAAGTCGTGACTCGTAAGTCTGGAGAGAAGAGTGAAGGGAAAACGAACAATTGATGCTTTCATGTATCAAAAAAAAAATGTTGGTGGCTTCTCTGAATTAGTAAATAAATTTAAAAGGAAGAACTAAAAAAATTAAAGCATGTTTCCTCATTGGCAAACTTGTTGCTCGTTAAGTCACTAAAACAATCAGCTTTACGTCCCTTTAAGCTTTCAGTTATAGTTTTAGTCAAATTCTTTAGAAGATATCTCTTGTACTAAGTCCTCCCCAACAATTATGTGTCAAAATCTCTTTTTATCATTCCGTCCACAATGGAAAGTCATTCCATCCTCTCTCTTTCAATATTTTACTCTATTAGTCTTTATCTCTCTACTGCTGCATTGCGTGATACGAGTAGAAGGTGGATTGAAGACTTGAAATGGAAGAAGCCTGTAATAAATAACATGAATTAATATAGTAATTAACAAGATATATATATGTAAAATAATAATTAATTAGAAGTAATAGAGTTCTAAAATAATTAATAGTATAATTATTAATTTTAAAATTATTTAAGTAGTACTTAAATAGTTAATTAAATCAGGTAATTATTAAGATTATATTATTTATGATAAGATCTTCTCAGAGGGAAGAGTGCATGAAGACAACAGTCTAAAGAAAAACCCTGAAATATTACAATAAAGATATCAATCCTGTGTAATGGCCTTCCAAATTTTTTTAAATATATACAGAATATAGTATATAAACTATATTATATTATATATAATTAACAATATTATATTATATTAATAAAAATTTAACCACATCAATACTAGCAAATACGTTTATTTAATACTAAATCCGCATTTTTTACTTACTAAGTACACACTTTTAACATTATTTATCATAATCATTTTTTAGGACACACTCAAAATTATAAATCATGACTATAAAATAAATGGGAAAAAACTGTCATAGGAATCTTTGTAGAGAGAGAATATGAAGAGGTCTTGTTTGGCCAAGAAAACTCAAAAAGTTATGATAAGATCTTCCTAGAGAAGAGCATTGATAAGAAGAAAGTACATTGAATATAAAATGATAGCATTTTTAACTGCTATACATATTTTCAAAAAGTTAGGAGAAGCAAAGTATAAAATTTAGAAATTCAATTATGTAATAAATATTTTTTATGTTATATGTATAAATCCTTCTGATAAAATAATAAATATATTTATACAAATCTGTACCAATATATAAATTATTAAATAAATCAAATTATATAGCACACTATAAAATTAATCACGCATTTCACCACTAATCAAGAGATTTTGGATTTTAAGCTTTGGTATATGATGTATAAATTTGGCCTCTTATAGACTTGATACGTTATCAAAAATTACTTTATTAGGCACAAATCTCGAACCTATGTGAATTAGAAACTTCCATAAGAAAAAATTGGGGCCATCCCTTTTACAGAGGAGGATCGGAGCTTGCTCGAATGGACCGGGCCTTTTTTGGTGTCGACGACCTCAAAAATTTTGCAAGTGCGCTTCTCCCTCAATTTATCGGAGAAACATTAGGCAGACTCAAGAGAATCATGCTCTTTCCCCCTCCCCTATTGAGTGTATTTATAGATCAGTGAGGGGGCCAAGTTTGGATTTTTTTTTCTAGATTTTTTTTTTAAATTTTTTTGGGAATTTTTAAAAGCATAAATCATATTTTTCCTTTTTAAAATAAATAAAAAGGAAAATATTAAATTTAAAATAAATAAATATACATAGATTTAATCATTTCCTTTCCAAAAAATGCTCTGAATTTTTTTAATAAATTTCAAATTTTGTACTATTTTTGAAGAATTTTAAATTTGAAATAATTTAATTGAACTAAATAAAAAAAATTTATGCAGGGGCGCCAATACACGTCCCTTGACTTTGCAAGTGGCGCAGTGGACCCGCATGAGGGTGGCCCACCGGAAGGTTGCCGTTGGCTAGTCGGCCGGCCGGTTGGCCCTCCAAATTGCGTCCGGGCATGATTTTCGGGCCGGCCAGTCTGATTCAGGAATTTTTATTGGGTGCGGAGTGCAGACGTAGCTCAATTTTTTACAGACATTTTTTTGTTGTTTGGGGCCATTGTTTTATATTATGAACTCAATTTTTTACAGTTAAATAGAGTAATTTTGAGAGTTTTGCAGCTCAGTTTTCTGATAATTTTTACTCCAATCAATGCGTCAACTTTGAAAAATGTTAAAACTATGATCAATGATATTTTACTTATTATTAGGCTATAATTTAAGCTAATTTTATTATTAGCATCTTCATTAACTTAATTTTAAAATCACTTTAATGATTGTTGTTTATTTGAAATTTTTTAAATTTTCATAATTTTATATCTTTATGGAAATCATATAATTGATATAATTTTTTAAAAAAAATTATGAAAATTTGTCTAATTGAATTCATTATATATTTGATGGTAACTAACTTTTTTTTTTTTTTGCATGATATCATGGGCGGATCCGTGCTTAGCTGAGGGTGGGCAAATGCCCACCCTAAAAAAAAAATTAGTGTAGAGGAGGGGCAGTTTTGGAAATTTGCCCCCCTCAAAAAAAAATATTTGCCCTAAATCTTCCCATCGTAGCCAGGTTGCCCTCCCGTTCCCAGTTTTCTTTCGCATTCCATTTCGAAAAAAACTTGCAGCCCCCTTCGTGAAGAGGTCGCCGAACGGGCGGAGCACTCTCGTTGGCAGTCGCAGCCACCTTCATCTTTGCGTCTAAGCTTCTTAGTGAAGAGGTTGACAGCTCCCCGCAGCCCTCTCTTCCCATTTCAGATTTTGCAGCCGCTTTCATCGTTTTGAAGGTAAGTTTTTTTTTTTGTTTGGCGATTACCTACTACTCAACTTGTTCTATTTCTTGCTTCCATTTTTCCTTGTCTGCATTTTGAAAAAGTCCAGTTTACAGACTTACATTTGGTGTTTACAGTAGGTATTTGAAAATTTTTTGTATATGAATCTGATGAGATTTTTTTTATCAGAATCTGGTTTTTTGTATTGCTTCTTTCATGATTATAATCACAATTTACAATCTTCTTCATCGGTTCCTCGTGAAAATATAATGCTGGAGGTTTCGGTTACAGTTCAAACACTAAAACAGAGTATTTCAATGCTGGAGGTTTCAGTTTCTTCTAATGTCAATGGTTTCTTCTAATCCAACAATCTTATTTCCAGAATAGTTGTTAGTAAAATTTTAAAAATAACTTTAGGATAACGTATTGAATTTTATAAAAATATTTTTAATCATTTTTATGATGTGTGAAAATTCATGGATGAAAATTTAGGTCAATAATGATCATTCTTTTCTAAATTTTTAGTATTAAATGTTAGCAATTTGTTAGTAATTTATTAAAGATTCTTAAGTATTTTTTCTGTCAATTTAGTAACTTTTCAGAAGGACCCCTAAATTTTTTAGGCGTGTTCGTTCTAGTTCCAAATTTTT